TGCCCTTGTCCTTCTACATGTAAATGGTCATAGGTTTGGAAGGTGCTGTCTGAAGATCTTTGGTGAACTTCTGCAGTGCATCTTGTAGATAGTACACACTGAAGCTACTGAACATTGGTGGTGAAGGGAGTGAATGCTTGTGGATGTAGTGCAAATCAAGTGGGCTGCTTTATCCTGCAAAGTGTCAAGCTTCTTCAGTGTTATTGGGGCTGCATTTAACTAGGCAAGTGAAGAGTATTCCATCACATTCCTGACTTTGTGCCTTTAAGATGGTGGACAGGGTTTCAGAGTCAGGAGGTGAGTTATTTGCTGCTGGATTCCTAGCCTCTGACCTGCTCTTGTAGCCACCGTGTTTATGTAGTGAGTCCAGTTGAGTTTCCGGTCAATGATAACTCCCAGGATGTTGATAGTAGGGGATTCAGTGATGGTAGCACCATTGAATGACAAGGGACGGTGCTTAGATCGCTCTTACTTGTGATGGTCATAGCCTGGCATTTGTGTGGTGCAAATATCACTTGCCACTTGTCAGCCTAAGCCTGGATATTGTCCAGATCTTGTTGCATTTGAACATGGACTGCTTCAGTGTCTGAGGAGTCACGAATGATACTGAACATTGTGCAATCATTGATCATTCCCACTTCTGACCTTATGTTGGAGGAAAAGTCATTGATGAAACAGTTGAGGATGGTTGGGCTGAGGACACTACTCTGAGGAGCTCCTGCAGAGATGTCCTGGAGCTGAGATGATTGAACTCCAACAACCACGACCATCTTCCTATGTGTCAGGTATGACTCCGACCACTGGAGAGTTTACCCCCGATACCCATTGATTCCAGTTTTGCTAGAGCTCCTTGATGCCACGCTCAGTCGAATGCAGCCTTGATGTCAAGGCCTGTCACTGTCACCTCACCTCTGGAATTCAGCTGTTTTGTCCATGTTTGAACCAAGGCTGTAATGAGATCAGGAGCTGAGTGGCCCTGGCGGAACCCAAACTGGGTGTCACTGAGCAGGTTATTGCTGAGCAGGTGCTGCTTGATAGCACTGTTGGTGACACCTTCCATCACTTTACTGATGATTGAGAGGAGACTGATGGGGCAGTTATTGGTCAGGTTAGATTTGTACTGCTTTTTATGTGCAGGACATTCTTGGGGGCAATTTTCCACATTGTTGAGTATATACCAGTGTTGTAACTGTACTGGAACAGCTTGGCTAGGGGAGCGGCAAGTTCTGGAGCACAAGTCTTCAGTATTATTGCTGGAATGTTGTCAGGGCTCATAGCCTTTGCAGTATCCAGTGTCTCCAACCATTTCTTGATATCACGTGGAGTGAATCGAATTGGCTGAAGACTGGTATCGGTAATGCTGGGGGCCACTGGATCATCCACTTGGCACTTCAGGCTGAAAATTGCTGTGAAGGCTTCATCCTTACCTACAAGGCACAAGTCAGGAGTGTGATGGAATACTCCCCACTTGCCTGGATGGATACAGCCCCAGCAACACTCAAGAAGTTTGACACCGTCCAGGACAAAGCAGCTTCACTTGATTGGCACCACATCCACAAGGATCCACTCCCTCCACCACCGACGCACAGTAGCAGCAGTGTATACTATCTACAAAATGCACTGTAGAAATTTATGAAAAATCCTTAGACAGCACCTTCCAAGCCCACAACCATTTGCATCTGGAAGAACAAAGGCAGCGATACATGAGAACATCACCATCTTCAAGTTCCACTCCAAGCCACCCACCATCCTGACTTGGGAATATATTGCCGTTCCTTCACTGTCACTGGGTCAAAATCCTGGAATTCCCTCCTCAAAGGGCATCATGGGTCAACCCACAGCAGGTGGACTGCAGCGGCTCATGAAAGCAGCTCATCACCACTTTCTCAAGGACAAACAGGGACGGATAATAAATGCAGCAGTAGGCAGCGACACCCACATTCCACTAATGAACAAAACAAAAAGCTGGCAATGGGGCCCAGACAGGCACGGGGGTACCATTCTTTCTGATCATAATGACAATGGACGATTGTAGTCCAGGAGCAAGTTGGTCATCAGAAACTGAGCACATACAGTAAAGCTGGTGATCATAGAGGACAAAACACTGAAGGAAGCATAATGATCAGGCACATCTACTAGCATAAAAACCAAAAGAACTGCGGATGCTCTAAATCAAGAACAAAAACAGAAGTTTCTGGAAAATCTGAGCAGGTCTGGCAGCATCTGTGAAGAAAAAAATCAGAGTTAACGTTTCGGGTCCGGTGATCCTTCCAATGTTTTCCCAGCTATCATCAGTTCTGAAGAAGGGTCACCAGGCCCAAAACGTTAACTCTGATTTTTTCTTCACAGATGCTGAGCTTTTCCAGAAACTTTGTTTTTGTTCCATCTGCTGGCATGTTGAACATGAAGTTGCGCTGGGAAGCCTTGGCACTGCAGAGAAAAATTTTTGCTCTTTGAAGCCTGTTCTCATGATCTCTTTTGGTTGCTCTCACAGATGCACATATCCTCCCCAGGGCATATTCACCCTCCTGCTCCACAGTCCCGGATAGCAGTCAAGGAGCTGAGGAAGCACTGTCACACATTACAACCAAGTCCTCCTTCAGCAAGCACTATCACTTCTGTGGCGTTCAACTACTTGAATATCAACTGGGAATGTGAAAAAGTAAGAGGGAACAACGTTGTTCATCTGCATTAAAGAGATCTTTTTAGTCAGCATGTGAAAAAAAACAACATAAGGAGGCACAATTTTAAAGTTAAGCTTAGCATAGTAAGCTGGGGAAATTGATGAAATAGCATTGTGTGACTATTTTATAGATAGTGGCATAATATATTTTGATTTATTATCACTGTGGTAAAACACATAGTTGGGCAGAAGCATTGGTTCTAAATTGGAAACAAATTTTATAAAGCTGAGAAATGATTCGTCAAAAGTGTACTGAATGTGGCTACATGAAAGAAAATCAATGACAAATCAGTGGGAGGCCCTCAAAAGCAAGAGTCAATGGGTACAATGTAGACATGACCTCACAACAGAAAAGGTGGTACTGCCAAATCTCAGAGCCTTCCACAAATCAATGGGAAGACCACTTTCACTTTACAAGTAAGCGTTCATTGTCACCTTTTATACAATAATTGTCAAGAAATTGAGAGATCGAGGTGTCACCTACTCCAGCCCGGAGGGGAGTTTGACATGAAACATAGAAGACTACTGTCAATGATAATGTCACCCTCACCTTCTCTAAGGTTGCAGGTTTGCCTGCAATAGGTAACAGATTTCCTGAATACATCCTTAGAAAATGGAGGGGATGACCATTGTGAGTAATACTGGTGGGTGATGTTCCCTCCTAGACCGTACAGAAGTTCTGGCACAAACCTGACCTAAGTCAATACCTTTAGGTTACGGCATAAAAAAGTTAATGGGTCCATACACTTAAATGAATTAGAAGAACAACAATAATGGGCATGATGTTGCACTTTAGTGAGGTTAGGGAGGAGGATCCTTCCTTTTACTGAGAAGGTGTTCAACTATGTGAGGTTAGACAGCATTATCTGGAGGCCTGTGATTGTAAATGTGATTGGCGCCTACAAATAAACCCATAATGTCAGAAATGCAGGGCTACATAGATTTTTTTTAGCTACTGTATGCTTTCTAAATAAAATCATAAATTGCCAAAAGCTTTTGATAAAAATTATTTCTTTATCAATGATATTCGAACTGAATCAGTATTTTTCATCATGTTTAATTCATACAAACATCACAGAAACTTTATCTCATGTGCAACCTGTTCATTTCAGTGCATAGTATCTTAAGCTAATCTTGCACTGTACCTTAAACAGGCCAAGCTTGCGAGCCATCTACACACTGTGCTGCTGCATGGCTCACAGGGAATATTTCACAGAAGTAATTTTTATATAAACATTATTATACATTGTTGCTTGTTCTTTTTTGCGCTTTTTGATTTATAAATTCTGCTATTCACATCACTACAAATAGAAACAAATATTTCACTTGGTGTTTAATGATACTAAAGCACACAACTAACGTAACATATCAACATATGCAAACAGTGGTCAATATTGTGTGATCAAATGTTGCCTGATTAAATCTCCAGAGATATTGAAACAGGAAGCCAATCTTAATTAGCTGATGCATAAGAGGTTAATACTGTTTCAGGTGCAGGCCCTGAATGCCTGTACTTCTGCCTATACTAATATGTGGCTCACATACTTTCAGTTCTACGTACTGTATTGGATACTTAGGGCATCCAGTATACACCTGTAAAACAAGCAGTGCCAATAAATTTCTAGGGTATGAATTAAACTGTATAACTGACTTAACTTCTGAGTTCTATAAAAACTGATATTACAGCTGGCAGTCATCTGTGCACTGCAAACATGCAGATAGACAGCATAAGTGATCAAATCAAACACATTTAAATGCTGCTGTGGTCCAACTTTCTGGTAAATTGTCAAGTCATCAACCTTAAAAGGAAATGTCTTGTGACATATGGGAATGCATACAGCTGTATTAAAATACTGCTATATTAAAAGCTAACAATGTGATAAATATTTCTTTACAGAATGTTTCCTTTATTGGAATGCAATTGTGCTGACAAGTTGTTAACCTCCAAATTTACTTAGGGTTAAGTTTCGTTTGGTGGCAGAGCGCTAAACACATTTGCACTTTTTCACACAATTAATTTGCTCAATTATATCAAACTGGTCAATAATTGCTCCAAAATAATGCAGACAGAAACTGTGCAGCAATCTGTTATCCAGCAAGCCACCAGAGGAAATTAAAGGCTATGATTGCCCTTTAAACTCTTACTTTTCTTTTTAACTCTAAGAACAAAAACTAGTGAAGAAAATGGCTGTTAAATTAGTTATTTTAATTAAATTCATTAAAAGTCTACTATCCATTATATTAAATTGTTAATATTAAATAAAGCAACTGCTGTGGGTATAATTTCCATAGAAATGGAAGTCTAGTGTGTACATACCTGAGAAATCTTTCCAGATCATCTCTGCTGCACTGGGACCAGGAAACATCCCCCAAATTCTGTCCTTTAATCCATTCCCCAGACATAATATGGAGGCCATCTGCACAGGATGGATGATCATTGTCATGATTCATTCCCATACTGAATTTGAAAAAAAGTTTAAAATAAATGCATATTGTTTTACTGACAGATACAAAAAAAAATGAATAGTACAACCGAAGAATTTTAATAGCAGGACATTTATAATACATGAAACTTCTTCACATCAAATGTCTCAGATTAGGTCTTAAAAAGAAGGGCTAACAGATTCAGTGCAATTTCTTCAAACAACTATCTTTCTGGATTTCATTTTTTTTAGATTGTATTCTTAGACACTACTTCATCTAGGCGGAAAAGAACATTTAATCTTGGTGAAATATAAAGTCATTTGCATCCTTACAAGTGACATTAAAACAAGGAGGTAAATTGAAATAACTTAGATTGGTTAACAAAAATGTTATGCTTATTATTTTGAAAATAGTCAAAATGAATTATGGAGCAATAGAGGTTAGAAAAATTCTTCATTAGTTCAGAGGATTGCATTTTACTGTACTATGCGGTATTGTGACGTGGTCCCTCCACATTTACACATGGCATCTTAGACAATAGGATGGTACAAAAATAAATTTGGCCATATTATGCCCCAATTGCATTTCCAAGATCATTGACTCACACCATCAGGCAATGCTAATCAAATTGATGTTGCAATAGTAACATGGATTTAATTTTAAACATGAAAAGAAGCTACTGCCTATCACATTGACGTATTTAATCAAGTTTACTGAAACACCATCGATGTGATTACTGAGAAATCAAGAAGCAGAACATATTATGTAATCCAAGTCAAGCGGTAATTCATTGGCAATGTATTTTTTTCCTTATCAACTAAATTGATGTTAGCTTAAGCAACAAAAACAGAAATTGCTGGAAAAACTCAAACAGCATCTCTGGACAGAAATCAGAGTTAACATTTCAGGCCCAGTGACCCTTCCTAAGAACTGTATCTTAGCTTAAGGTTCTGCTGGAGATTTGAGAAGTTTCGGAAATTGTACCATGAGGTGCCACAGGATTTTGTGACTCTAAATAAATGACCTTTTCAACACTTTCAGCCAAGACCCCAACTAAAAGTGTAATGAAATAATACCATGAAAAAACTGTATACTTGTAGTTACTTGTCCTCTGAGTAATTATTGCATATGTTTGAAGTGGTCAAAAAGATCTTCAAGGATTACCTGGTTCAATAAACCAGCAGCTGAAGTGCCATTCATTTATCTATAGGCCATCAGGGAATCGTATAGAAACTCTTCCCTTAGAAGCTAAAGCTACATCTAACCTCATGTGGAGGTGCTGGTGTAGGACTGGGGTGGACAAGGTCAGAAGTCACCTGACACCAGGTCATAGTCCAACAGGTTTATTTGAAATCACAAGTTTTTGGAGCGCTGCCCCTTCATCAGAGGCACTGCCTTGAAAGCTTGTGATTTCACATAAACCTGTTGGACTATAATCTGGTGTCATGTGACTATTGACCTAAATCTAACATGAAACACAGATTCAAAAAGGGCCTATATCTATCATAACTTGATTTTACTCATGTGGTTATCACTTCTCTTTCAAAATCAACTTTTACTGTTAACATTTGTTACGCAGGTATCTTGGTCAAGACATTGCCTTCAGGAATGAGCCACATCCCTGGAGATCATATCAAACAGCATGTCACTTATGTAGATCGCAACAGGCAAGGTACTGGCAATACCCAACAAGGTGAGCTTGTAAAATTCAAAGCAGATTGCCAAGCATGTGCTAAGGATTATACTGACAACTAATTTAGAATAGTCAGGCTCGTAGTGTGGTACACTTGCATGTACTGGAAGCTACATATGTTAACACACAAAGCCCTGCTCATTGCAAACAGAAAGAATATATAACCACAAGGCAACTGCTTCAACTCAACAAAACAGGATGCAGTCATTCAAACAAAAGAAACAAAACAAAAACTGCTGGAAAAGCTCAGCAGATCTGGCAGCGTCTATGAAGGAAAAAACAGAGTTAACGTTTCAGAACAGAGGAAGGGTCACCAGACCCGAAACGTTAATTCTGTTTTTTCCTTCACAGATGTTGCCAGACCTGCTGAGCTTTTCCAGCAATTTCTGTTTTTGTTCCTGATTTACAGCATCCGCAGTTCTTTTGGTTTTTATTTAGGAGACAGCCATTTTCTGGTTCACTCCACAAAGCTCGGTCATCAACAACCACAGTCAATCTACTTAACTGTTTAACTTTAAACAAATCTCAGCAGTTAACTAAAAACCAAAAGAACTGAGGATGCTGGAAATCAGGAACACAAACAAAAACAGAAATTGCTGGAAGAACTCAGCAGGTCTGGCAGTACCTGAGGAGGAAAATCAGAGTTAATGTTTTGGGGCCAGTGACCCTTCTTCAGAACTGACCCAAAACATTAACTCTGATTTCTCTTCACAGATGCTGCCAGACCTGCTGAGTTTTTCCAGAAATTTCTGTTTTTGTTTTGACTCAGTAGTTAACTATAAGTCATCATCAAATTAGTGCATTCTCTATGGCAATGCTTGCTCCAATCAGAGTCTATGTGCCAACCAATCAGCACTTATGCATGCAGTATACAGCTTTTTTTAATACTTCGCATTGGTCTTATGGTGCATGACCTGATGTAAACACGATATCTTTGTTTTTCTGTGTTGTGGGCTGAAATGGATACAGCCTTGTTTTAAAATAAGCTAAGGACTGTGGAAAGGACTAGTGCACACTTTAAAACAAGCTATTCCAGCATTTATTGTAAGTGCTATTTACATTGTTGTTCATTCAACCTATGGAAACATTTTGATGCAGACAAGCTGGCACTAGGCTGTGTACAACACGAGATTCAGCTGGTAACAAGTAGCTGATTGGTGTGTGGAATTATGACCATTTGTTGATGATAAAGACCTTCAGCTTGCCAACAACTAAGTGATTGACTCTGAAGTAGCTGAGTAGCTAGTGGGTACAGACATGACAGCCAGAAGCCTTGGGACCTCAAAGGGCAGTTGTTATCCTTTTCTCTTCATTAAAAAAAACCTAAAGCCTGAAGAAAGCCTGTTTTACTTACTTCACCACCTTTAAACCAGTAAATCAGAGGAGATGTTATAAGTTGTGAACCAGTCACTCTGTGCCACTTACCAATAGGTGAAAATGCCTGGATAAGAGGAATTAATAAGCAACAGATCCTGGCAAGCCAAAAGGATCATTTCAGTAAAGTCTGGGACAAAAATCATTGAACAGCCTTCCCAGTTTTCCCCCCTCTCTATTTCATCATTTTTTTTAAGTCTGTCTGTATCTGTGCAGGGGGAGTTTGATAAGGGGGTTTAAGAGTTTTAACCAGAAGAGTTATATGTCCACTCTTTGTCATAAATGCTAATTCTTCTTAAGTGCAAAAACTGGTCTGTGCTTTTTGTTAACCCGTTACTAAAAAGACAAGTAAATTGGGAAATTCAAAGTAAATTTTATAAAGTTTAACTTTTATGACAACTTTGGGAATAGTGGGGCTAGATTTCCAGATCACAGGAGGTGTGACACTGATGTGTGCAAGACAAAAAGCTTTGACAAATGTGCCTTTATTTCTGTGATTCTCATTTTATGCTGATGGCAAGTTATCGCCTAATTTGGTTACTTGCAATTACTTCATTTATATAAAACCATGCTTCAGGTGCAGCACATCATTTTTCAATTATAAGGGAAAAGTTTTTTCTGCACACTTTGAGAAATATATCATTTTAAATGCAGGGTTACAACTTAGTTTTACATAATGCACAGTAAAGAAAAGCATCCCACTGGCTCGCATGGTTTTTTCAAATCATTTACCAAATTTTACTTCTCATGAATTTCAAGAAGATTGTAAGTTTATTCAATCTATTTCAACCATTTATTACAGAACAATTAACAATGATTAGTGATAAATCTCTTCAGAAAAACTGAATAATTCAATGGATTACAAGTTGATACGCTGAGCCATAATGGAATACTAATTAGTGTATCTCAATCCAAATGGCCTGATTAAAATCCTATGCCAAAAGTTCTCCCTGGATTTTAGTGTATACTGAAGCTACCATAGACAACATATATCAATCTGCATGCCAAGTCTTTCACATTGTCCAACAAGAACTAGATTTTAAACAATCCTGCCTGAAACCTTCTTTAAGCATTAGATGGTTCACAGCTGCACTGGATGAAAGTAGTGCCAATACCGCATACATTTTAAATAAAATCCTTAAACAGAGAATAAATTGAAACAAAGCTTTATTATGGAGAAGTTAGGAGATGATGAATATAACAATCTCATCAAAAGAAACATCATAGATTGTCTACATATGACAAAATAGAATGATTAGGAACCTTTTATGTACACTGTGCCTTAAAGCTAACAATATGTCGATCAGAACTAAAATGAAATGGACATGAATGTGAAATGATAGTAACTCATTCAATTTCACCATTATTGAATATTTTCAAAAGTTATAATTTTCCAACAGGACATTTTCAATTAAAGAGGTCAGTTGAGCACTTCAACATTAGCAGGCCATTAAGTTGTCGCTAATGTCAAACCTAAGTTTGGACAGACATTCAAAGTGGAGTTCATATCTAAAGGTTATTTATTTTGAATGAATTGCATTTTTGTATGCCTGTCCTTTCTAATTAACTGTATGAGGTTTGTCTTAGGATTTGGTAGGTCTGGTGTTATACAAGTCAGACAAACCTGTTTTACTCCAGACAAAGGATTTCATTGCTTCATGTCAGTACAAGTGTTTTAAGGTCACACATAGTGCAAGGATATGCAGAGTAACACTGCCCCACTCTTCCCAACAATAAGCCTCAGCATTCACCTAAGAGATTCTGCTAGTTCAGAGTTTTCTATATCGTTAGCATCGATACTGCAGCCTCTCACGGGGGTATTGCCAAAAGAACAGAAAAGCTGGTGGGCAGGTGTATATAGCATAATCAATTCCCTGTGCTGTATCCGGGTCTTACAGGCTCACCAAAATGGAATCTTATCCCCTATATTTCTTAATACATTATACCTTTTAAATCTGTTCTGCCAC